TATTTTTATATATATCTATTTATATATATATATATACAACCATATATATATATATATATATATACATACACATATATATACACACACATACATATATATATATATATATATATATATATATATATATATATATATATATATATATATATATGTGTGTGTGTGTGTGTGTGTGTGTGTCAACTTTAATGCTTTGTCAGTACATTTGTAACATTTGTCATGCCAATAAAGCAATTATTGAATCAAGAGAGAGAGAGGAATAATATTGACTCTTACAATGAACGAAATAAAGAAAACTTGACTGAGTGCTTCATTTCCCTTTTGTGTATGTTGAGATTTTAGACACGGGACTCTTATGTCGGCGTGTCGGTGACGTCATCAGGCTGCGCCGCGCTTCATTTCGTTGGGAATCTCCTCAAGGAAGGTTTGTGTTGTTACACTTTTAGCGATTATATCAATGAATCTTGTTTGTGCTAGAATAATTATTGAATGTCATGTTTTTAAACGTTAATGAATGTTATTTTGTGCGATGTTTCTATGTATTAATAAGAGTAAAGCTGCGTTTATCTTCTGTCTTTATATCATAAATCAGTTCATCATCAACACCAAATCAGTCTCTGGAGAACAGAGATGAGGACAAGAGACTTTTATTTTAAACTGAGACAAAGCCAGAGATTGAGTCATTTTCCTCTGTTAATGATGCTCTTCATCTTGTCCAAACCCACAGAACAGCAGATTATTATAAAGATGGCGTTTATTAAAGAGGAGAGTGAAGACATCAAGATTGAAGAAACATTCACAGTCAAACATGAAGAGACTGAAGAAGCTTTCAGAGTCAAACATGAAGAGATTGAAGAAGCTTTAGGAGTCAAACATGAAGATCCTCAGGAACAAACAGGTTGGTTTTTTCATCCAGGGGCAGACTTAGTGATTTGGAGAGAGGTAAAGTTGGTTTTATATTCACTCATTCATTCATTTAGCAGTCTCTATATTGTGTACCATGTTACTTTGAATATTGGGTCGGAATTAGCATGCAATTGTGACTAATTGACTGTAAACAGTGTTGTACTTTGATAGTCATTGGCTGCTAATATGATTTCCCTGTTTAGAATTTGCAAAGAATACTTTAATGAAATTATATCATTAAGGAGAATGTCTGAATATCCAATTATAAAACCAATTTTACCTCTATGTGATTTGGGGGCACATACATACATTTATACACTTTTATATATATTATTTAAAGTATATTTTAACAGAGCTGCATTATTCTGGCTAAAATAAAAATCACAATTTTTTTTTGTTTTGCTTAAAATTAAGATAAGGATTCTATAGATGTTAATTATTGATATGATTAGCATATTATTATTGTTAATTCTCAAACATATGGTAAAACAGCAACAGGCTATGTGCAGGTCTACTGTTGGTTAAAATGCTCATTTTTGTAAAGACTTTCAATGGCTGACTTGAACAAACTTAAAATATATCCTGGTCATTAAATTACAGTACAGCGATTACATCAGAATGCAACTATTCATCATTCTGATGTTGAATTATTATGTTTGTAGACCTATACCTGCAATCTGTCATTATTATTATTATTATTATTATTAGACCATTTATTCACTGGTGAAATCAGACAGTTGTCATTATCAGATTCCCTCCTGCATTATATCCAACATTACCTAGGCTAGAGTAGTTATACTGACACAGTTAAACATTCTCATGCACAACTCTTTGTGTTCGCTATGAAAGAAAAACACATCAAATGCTTGCAATCATTACTCTAAAATCCGATATGATTATTTAAATGATGCGTGTGCTTTCGGTTTCATTTTCACTGCAAAGTGTGGTTCATAGTTCCCGCGCGGCTCCCAAACGATCGCTCTGTGCCACAAACTGAATGTCATTTACAAATGTATTAGCTCTTATTCACAGCCTATGCAGGTTCTGTTCATTAAAGTAGACTTCATTCACAGGCGCGCGCCCGCTCTCTTCAACTTGCCTCAACACACGTGCAAGGAAACATAAGCTTAGCTTTTATTCGCCGATAACTGAGTTTAGACAAGACTAGCGGCTAAACAGGAATTCACAGTATTTGACATTACAGGCTGACTTTCTAATTGAGCAGGCTTTCAAGATTTGACGTGAAGGTGCAATGCACAAGAAGTGCTAATTTTACAAAGAAACTGTTAGTCGTCTTTAGGCATGGGCCTGTATAGGATTCTGACAATATGACAACCTTGCATAAACATATCACAGTTCTGTGATTATGGCTCTAAAATATATTATTTTAAATGTCTGGGTAAAAACGTACACTTTTTTCCCTTTTTGAACACAAAATATTTTATTTTGAGAGCGATTTAAAATATTTTGGAGCTGTAAATATGTCAGGCTAAATAACTCAAATGCATCATTGACTTCTGCTGTCTTCATTAGTTTTAAAAGCACTGATTTATTTACCATTTAAAAGGGAATCTTTGCAGATCTTTTCTACTGGATATACTGTTGTCCTAAAAAAACTAAACAAAGAAATGACACATGCTGTAGGATCAAATGAAGTACGGCAATCAGCCTGGTGACAGACTTTCTTAGTTCTCATCTCGTTTCTCATCTCTTATCTCATCAGCATACCAGTAGCTGTGCGTAGGTTCTTCTAATCCAGGGGTGTCCAAACTCAGTCCTGAAGGGCTGGTGTCCTGGAGAGTTTAGCTCCGACTTGCAGCAACGCACCTGCCAGGAAGTTTCTAGGGCTGTTTCTCAATATGCGTTCTTCAGCGGTCTTGCGTCCTCATGTTTTCGGCAGCGTCATCATCAGCTGCCTAAGTTCAGCTCCAATACTCAAGACCGCAAGAACAGAGGACGCGTGAAACTTCCCGGATGTGTTCTTGATATCGAGGACGCACCGATGCAGACGTGAGCACCGAACTCGCTCTGGAAGTCCCAGAAGTCATTGCGACTGGAGGTGGAAAGCTCAGCATTTTATCTAGATTATAAAAGTTCAGAGATAGAACTTATTTCCCTCAGGAGTTTCCCTAAATGAAACTAAACATCACCATGAAAATCTTAATAATTGAATAAACACATTAAGGATGTTTGTTTGCTGAAATTCATATTAAAATCTGTTTTATTTATATTGTGCAGTGTATATTTATAATGTTTTAATGCAGAGTATATATTTTGAAAAGGGGAAAAC